GATTGTGGTGTTGATGATGTTGTTAATGATGAGGAAGATGATGATGAGGCCATATTGCACATTTGTATTCCTGTGTTTATTAACATTGTGTCTGAAAGTGACTGAACTTATCTGTGTAACGGTCCCAAGTGATCTGAGTAGTTGTGATTGTGACAGATTTATTAAAAGCGTTGTAAAAATTCACTACGGCAGTGTTTTTTCTTTAATTATCATTCATGAATGCTACTTGCAGGTTCCTATTGTTATTGAACTCTTTTTTCTGTGTTCTGGCCTCATTCGACCTTGTTCCCTGGAATGAACCTGCCTGGGAACATCTGGGATTCGACTTGTTTTCTGAGAAAACAGGAGCAGCGTCCATCAGGGACCGGTTCCCACAAACATAAACTCAACATTACCAAATCATTGCTGTGTGATCTGCAAACTCTGTGATATTCCTATGATGATGTACGAGCAGTTGGATGTAAACAAGTCAACAGTTTAGCAGATTACATAAAGATGAACCCCTCATTCTACGGAAACTGTGAATACAGAGAGTACAGCAGGTCCAAGCAGGAAGTCGATCTGTAAACCGTAAACTTACAACAGAGTTAGGGTCGTACATTTATTCTTCCCCTTTTTTTCCCTCTTTCCAATACATTTCTTTAAAGTAATGAAAATAAGGTGCATGTTCCAGGACGAGCTCTCTCAGCAGCTCTTACAGGTTATCCGAGCATTGTGGGGAGAATGTGGGGAAGTCGCTGACGTTCTGGTCCTGATCCACAGAGTTTCCCATGGGGGAGACGCAGGCTCTAGGCAGCCTCATCAGAAATGTATATATGGATCCAATCCTGCCAAAACCTTTCATCTCTCGCTTCACTCTCCATTTGTAATCCTCTACAGTATACTCTGTGGTCACCTGCCGGCTGAGTGTGAACACAGAGTCTCCTCTGACCACAGCAGTCAACAGAGAGCCTTTGCTGTTCCCGTACTGGCCAGACATGGCCGTCCACTGGCCTGAGCTCAGGTTGTAGCAGTCCATCACACACAGTAAGAAGTCATCACAGGGTCCATTGCGCATCACATACAGATTATCTTTATGGGCCACCATGTAAAGACCATAACTGTGCTCACGGATGAGCGTGGTGACCAGAAGCCACTGATCCCGTTCAGACACGTACTGGTGTATATCTGTGGCCCCCTTACCTCTCCAGAGACAAATAAAGATCCTGTTCATGGCCACAGCAGACACTACCAAGGCTGCAGGGCAGGGGAGGGGGGAGACAAACCCCCAGCTCCCACTAGACACCCTGTATCTCTCAACAGACGACAGGACCTTCATGTTGAACTCACCTCCTATGGCGTAGAGGCAGCCCTCGTGGCCTATCAGAGTGAAGTTGTAGCGTTGCTGCTGGGAGCCACAGATGGTGGACCATGTGTTCGCTGCGGGGTTGTAACAGAAACCTTTGTCCACTACCTTCTTGCTGATATCATGTACTCCTCCGATAATGTAGAGTTTGTTGTCCAGGACGGCCACGCCGGCCATCGTGGTGCTCGTGGTCACAGGAAGATGAGTCAGGACCTTCCACTCGCTGTGATCTTCGTCCAGGTAGCAGACGGTCCTCTGGAGATCCTGCAGCCGCTCGGTGGACGGCGAGTGGCTGCATACTGCCATGTAGCTACTCGGGAGAAGGGACTCTATGTACTCTACCAGCTTCTTTGGTAAGGTGTGAACTTCCACCTTCAGGTCAGTGTACATATCTCTGATGAATAAGGCTGAACCGTGGGAGAGCTCCCACACGCCGTAGGTAGCAGCCGTGTGGTACATGAGCAGGCAGTTTTCAGAATTGACGATATTGACCAAGTGCTCGGTGAGAGCCGGCACCTGCAGAAAAGCCGTACACTTGATGGCTTCCACGATCTGGTCGCTGCTCAGCACGGGGCGCTCCCCGCCCAGGACCCGCAGCATGACCAGAAAGCCCAGGACCCCCACACACTGCAGGTGGATCTCTTCCTGTTGGCACTCTCTCATTCCTGACTGGAACAACGCTCTGAAGTACTCGCAGTTCTCAGACAGAATGGTTTTATCCACAATGAAAGAGCTGTCGTCAATGCTGACCTTCAGGCTCCTCGGGGGCTGACAGTGTACTGGCTGCTGGCTGAAGCTTGGGCAGCTGTTGGACTCCATCACTTCCCTGCTTTGGATCTTCATTACATTCCAGCGGAAATGCACGCTCACCACAAGGAAGCTTTGATCCAGATCAGAGTGCTGCACATCAGTGGAGTTTTACCACATGCTGCCCGTGAGACTGAGCACCTCCTATCCAGAGCAGATGCTCGCTGACAGAGTGTTCTCACAGCTCTGAGAACAGACTCTATACATAGCAGGCGGATGTGTGACACAGTTCAAGTACATTATGATGACATGCAGCCAGAGGAGAAAGAGGAGCCGGATAATGGCAGGTTGACTGTGCTGATGATTCATGTTGCTCTTTGTCTGTGGCTGACAGTTGTGGAACAGCTGAGGATTTGTCCTTGAGCAGCAGGAACAGTCCAAGTGTAACAATAGGTCCTTCCCCCGCTGCACATAGTGTGCATGCCACTATTTCAGCACCATTGAGAAGTGGAGTGCAGGACATGCAGGACTATAACTTGTAAAGTATTTTCTACTGAAGCCCTGCTACCTTTACTGGAGTACCAGAGACATTCAATCCTCACACAGAAGAAGAAATCTAAATAAATAAATAGAAAATATACAAACTGATGTCAGTATAATTCAGCTTTAAAATCATTAGTGAATTACAATTGTATTATTCTCTTAATAATAAGGTACTAATAATCCTCCTCCTCCTACTACTAATAATAATAATAATACACTGCAAACAGCAGCTGCTAGCAGCTCATTCAGCAGACTTTAATGGTGACTATCTGGGCTAAAAACTAGATACGGCCTGTATGCCTCTGCCAACCAGTCAGACATTCATGTCTGTCCAAAATGTCTTCACTTTCTTTTCATCCTGTACGATGTTTGTGTAATTGTTGTCCACTAAAATCGAATCAGTTCATCCTTGAGTCTAAGTGGACGTTTATAGCAATCTTCCCCAGGACCCAGAAAAGCGGGAACACACTTTACAAATATATATATAGAAACATAAGCAGTGAAAGAAGACAAACATCCAGCTGTCTGAATGCCTTGTATGAAGATTTGCAGCCATCCTGGTTTCAGTTCAGTGAACTGGCTGCTGCTTCAGTTACGTTGCGGTCCAGCTTTTACAAGCTCAGTTTGAAGACTTTCTCCTAAAATGGAGAGGTCAGTGCACCAGCTGCACACGAGACACTTTTTTTCCTCTCACTCCGCTGAGGACTCACACACTGAGACCAGCACAGTATTCCAGTCCACTTGGATCTGCAGAGGACATCTTTCTTTTGCTGGCACTCGTCTTCAAGAAAAAAAGAAAAAACAACAACTTGCCTCTAAGGAAATGTCTTTTAATCTTCTTCAGCGTTATCAAATGAGACCAGAGATAAGTCTGTGAAGCAGACTGTTGGAAGAGAAGCATGTCGGGGATGTTTGGGAAAGGGAAGACGTGTAACTCTGCCGCAGCTCCTGGCAGGAGTCCAGCTGAGTGTAACCTGGTGCTGCTCGGTGTGATGGGCTGCGGGAAATCAGGTCCATCAGAAACCACTTTCACTTGTTATTTACAGGCAAATCCTTCTTGGCAGAAAATGTTAGGAAACCGTAGCCTTACTGCAGACTGTAGGTTGACTGAAACAGATTGTTCATGTAAATAATAACTGTGTTTTCCCCCGTTGACAATTGTTTTATCACAATGTATCACAAATACATGAGTTGTGATAAAGTAAGTAGCTGAAAAACCAGGAACACCATAAGTGAATTATTCCTGTTTTATTGGATCATTTGAATAATATATCAGTCATGTGCAGCACAGTTTCACAAGAATAATGTGTTGTCTTGGTTTAACTTGATTAACTTTATTTCAGTTCATTTTATTCAGTGTTCTCAGTGGAAGTTGTTGTTCTGCTCGGTTACATAGAGCCCTTTTTATTTTGAAATGAACACCATCCAGTTATGTTTGTGCTTCATGAGTTTAGTCTTGATGTTAAACGTGTATGTTGATGCAGCAGTGGTTTTCTCAGGGCCCTCCCTGACCCCAGTCCCCTGAGGCCCTCAGTCAGTCACACTGTGTCATGTTGTCTCTCTTTGTGTTACAGCACTGACCGTCAAATTCCTCACAAAGCGCTTCATCAGTGAATACGACCCCCATCTAGGTGAGATCTCTCTGCTTCATTTTAATAAGAGCAATACATAGAAAATAGAGGTGGAGAGTATATATTAACTGAAGTACAATGTTGAGGTACTTGTACTTTACTTGAGTATTTCCATCTAGGTAACTTTAAACTTCTACTCAACAATATGTTAGAGGCAAATATTGTACTTTTTGCTGCACAACATAACTTTACTTATGGGGGACTTTGCAGAATAACAGTATAGATAAACACATAGATGATAAGAAATGATGTAATCTAAGACGTTAGTAAACATTAGACCGGTGGTGTCCCTGCTGCTACAGCTTTCAGTTGACTTTGAGTTATTAGCAGAACAATTTCTGTAGCAGAACTTGTTTTTTTCTTCTTTGCAGCTCCAATAATCATCTCATGATTTCCTGGTACTTTGCTGAGAATACTTGTGTACTTTTACATAGCATTGTGAATGCAGGACTTGTAATAGAGTATTATTGGTGCCTTTACTTAAAGATCTCCTCCAGATATATTTTTAAAGACATATAACATACTCTATTAATAATGTGTGTCTTATAAGTATTTTCCACAAAAAATAATAAAACTACCTCTTAGAATGACATCTTCTTTATGTAAAAACCCATTTTCTCTGAATCTGGAAATATTTTTTTAATAAGATGTTCCCTACTTCAATGAAAAGTCCATTCTTAGTGTTCGTGGGCTGGACACTCCACGTTTCCACATAGCGCTGTTTGGTACGGGACCCTGATTGGGTGAGAACATGTCATAAATCCTGCAGGTACATCCAGGTGAGCTCAGAGAAACTTCAGCAGATGAATGTGAAAACAAACTCTGTCCACACATTATTCTGCACAGTGAACTTTAAGTTAAGGATCTGAGTACTTCTTCCACCACTGTAGAACACATCAGGATGTATCTGTGACGATGTAATAGTGTCCTCTGTGTCATTGGCTGCTGTGTAGAGGATATCTATTCATCAGAAGAGAAGGTGGACCAGCAGCCTGTCACAGTGAGAGTGATGGACACCTGTGACCAGGTAGGAACACGCTGTTGTGTTGACTGTGTGAGGAGGTAGAAAGGCTGAACGCTTTTACTCACATCTTCTCTACTGCTTCTTCATCTGTGTTGCATTATGCTTTAATGCTATTCTTTATTGTTTCCATGAAAACCAGACAAAAGGGCTCCAAACTACATCAAATTAAAAAAGAAGAAATCAAATCACAGTAGCAGTTGGCAGAGTCCAACATAATGTTGTCAGATGATTTTATTTTCTCACCGTACAAAGATATTCAGTTTAATATCATCAAGACAAAGAAAAGAGACTTGTAACCCATCACAATAAACATCTGGCCTCTTATTCAGGTCACAGTCATTTCATCAGTTTGTGCTTCTGCAGTAAAAATATCAGCGCAATCCAACAGCAGCCGGTCACAAGAAACATGGTCCAATAGAAGTGATGTCATGATTTTGGTTTGATCTATGGACTTGAACAGGGTGTTTTTCTGTACATCTTAATAGAAGACAAGCCAAGCTCAGGCCCATCTGTGAGCGATGCCTGACACCTGCTGGTGGAACACAGGAACTGTTCACCACAGACACTAAAGTTTTCACTGAAGATGGCCGCAAATAGACAAATTCACACAATTCAGAAATAACACAAGTGTCAGAACTACTAAAGCTAACCAACAGCCTCGCAGCATAAAGCTTCACATTATAGGACATGACTTCATTCTAAATTTCCTTCACTCATGTAACCCAGAGGCATGCTGGGACTATGTGTGTCAGACCTTTATGTGCACTATGCCACTTGCAAAATAAGACAAATTAAACATTAATTCAGGCCATTTTCAATACAAGGTAATTTTTTTCCTCCTGTCTTCATGTCCTCCTGTCTTCTGTCCTCCTGTCTTCATGTCCTCTGTCTTCATGTCCTCCTGTCTTCATGTCCTCTGTCTTCATGTCCTCCTGTCTTCATGGCCTCCTGTCTTCATCGCCTCCTGTCTTCATCGCCTCCTGTCCTCTGTCTTCATGTCCTCCTGTCTTCATGTCCTCCTGTCTTCATGTCCTCTGTCTTCAT